CAGTGTATCTGCAATTCAAAGTATTCATCCACAAAGAGCAGCTTAGTTATAGGGGCCTACTTGTGCAGCCCAAATTTATTCAAAGAGCATTCACAATCGTTTCGGGACCCCTGTCCCTTTATCAATGATAGATGCCATCTGAGGGCATCCACCCCCTTTTTGCCCAGCACTTACTTGTTTGTTAGTACTGGGCTTTGTCCAATCAATTGTTTCTCATAGAGAAGCATTTAGGATAAAAATATCAATTCCAAAGCTTTAAGATTTGTGTGGGTTCTTAGAGCATCCCACCCCTCTGCCTTCCTCATTCCAGTGCACCAAAGTGTCCCACCATTCCTCCCAGGGCAGCAGATCTTCTCACTTCTCCTTATCCCTCCTGTTTATACAGCAGACAATCCCACCTCTACTCCTCCCAGTGCAGCTTTCTTTAGAGCATCCCATCCCACCTCTCCTCATCCCTCCTCCCAGTGCAGCAGAGCATCCCACCTCTCCTCATCCCTCCTCCCAGTGCAGCAGAGCATCCCACCTCTCCTCATCCATCCTCCCAGTGCAGCAGAGCATCTCACCTCTCATCATCCCTCCTCCCAGTGCAGCATAGCATCCCACCTCTCCTCATCCCTCCTCCCAGTGCAGCAGAGTATCCCACCTCTCCTTATCCATCCTCCCAGTGCAGCAGAGCATCTCACCTCTCCTCATCCCTCCTCCCAGTGAAGCAGACCATCCCACCTCTCCTCATCCCACCCCCCAGTGCAGCAGAGCATCCCACCTCTCCTCATTTCACCTCTCAGTGCAGCAGAGCATCCCACCTCTCCTCCTCCCAGTGCAGCAGAGCATCCCACCTCTCCTCATCCCTCCTCCAAGTGCAGCAGAGCATCCCATCTCTCCTCCTCCCTCCTCCCAGTGCAGCAGAGCATCCTACCTCTCCTCCTCCCTCCTCCCAGGGCAGCAGAGCATCCCACCTCTCCTCATACCACCTCCCAGTGCAGCAGAGTATCTCACCTCTCCTCATCCCTCCTCCCAGTGCAGCAGACCATCCCACCTCTCCTCATTCTTCCTCCCAGTGCAGCAGAGCATCCCACCTCTCCTCATCCCTCCTCCCAGTGCAGCAGAGCATCCCACCTCTCCTCATCCCTCCTCCCAGTTCAGCAGAGCATCCCACCTCTCCTCATCCCTCCTCCCAGTGCAGCAGAGCATCCCACCTCTCTTCATCCCTCCTCCCAGTGCAGCAGAGCATCCCACCTCTCCTCCTCCCTCCTCCCAGTGCAGCAGAGCATCCCACCTCTCTTCATCCCTCCTCCCAGTGCAGCAGTGCATCCCACCTCTCCTCCTCCTAGTGCATCCCACCTCTCCTCATCCCTCCTCCCAGTGCAGCAGACCATCCCACCTCCCAGTGCCGCAGAGCATCCCACCTCTCCTCATCCCTCCTCTCAGTGCAGCAGAGCATCTCACCTCTCCTCATGGAACATCCATCCTCCCAGTGCAGCAGAACATCTCACCTCTCCTCATCCCTCCTCCCAGCTCAACATAACATCATACTTCTCCTCATCCTTATGCAGCAGAGCATCTCCTCTCCAAGAACACCATCTGCCTTGGTCATGCCCTCCCCCCTTCATTGAGTAACACGGTATCAGTAGCCCACCCCAGTCCTGTCTTCACAAGCAGCACAGTTTGCCAACTCTCCTAATCCCTAACCCCCTCCTATTTGCTGTAGAGCATCCCATCTCTGTGTCAGAGAGCTATAATATAACTAAACCCTGTGTTAGGTCTGATTATAGGCAGCCAGCAGACCCCACACATACCCAGCCCTCCTCTCCCAGCATCCGTGCACTGTGCCTACTACTCCTTTATCAGATCTCCCCCACACTTTATTTATTAATGGAAATAAATTCACTGATGTTATCATTCCGTCACCTGGGCTAAGCCAACGCAGGCTTTCTCCGCCCAGAGGAATTCAAGGAGCTGTAGTTCAGGTTGACATGGGGGGCATAGAGAGTAGCGGTCAGTTAGACGCACTGCGCAGCCCAGTCGGTTTCTGTAATGGAACGTTCTAAATGTGGAGCAATGAGCAGCAACGTTCCATTGGTTACCATGGTGATTGCTCCATGTTTAGAACTTTGCACTACAATTGCTCCCACTGGACTGGATTTATTTATATTCTGTTTGTTTAGGCTTCAATTGCTCATTTTAAATTGTTGCTGCTTAGTCGTTAATTATTGCATATGGACTAAGGACTATATTATTAGATATATATGTTATTTCACTGGATTGTGGGACAATGTTGAAGTGTTCCCATAACTAAAAATTATACTTTTTTTGTTTTGTTTTTTTAAATGAGACGTTACCTCTAAGTGTGTCTGCTATCCTGGGCTCCTATATGTGATCTTAGCATTGCATTATTATTATTATTATTAGTGGTAACATGCTTCCCCATTTCAATAAGAATTATTTATGAGCAGGGCCGGTGCAAGGAATTTTGTCTACACAGGCGAAGGAGCATTTTGTCTCCCCCCCAACCCCTTTTTAGAGAAAAATAAGAACAAATTTGTGGTTTTGTAAAGTGTATTTTATTAACATTTATTCAACAAAAACAAAAATAAATAACAATGCATTCAACTGCATGTAAACTGCAGTAACTATTACTCAAACTGCATGAATACTATAAAAACTTTTATATAATGAATAAAACTGTACGCTTTAGGTTTCTGCAAGTGCAAATTCACCTAAAGTGTAAAGTGCTTTAACAGATATTGCACACAAACAAAGTGAGAATGGTAGCCTACAAAAACTTAACCCTTCTTGCTTTCGCAGTTACAAAATCATGAAGCAGAGTTTTAAAGTCAATCTCTTTTGCAATCTGATTTTCAATGGAAATCATTGCAAGTCCTACCAATCTCTCTTGAGACATAGAGGACCGAAGATAATTCTTTATTAACTTCAGCTTTGAAAAGCTTCGCTCCCCAGAGGCTACAGATATCGGCAATGTCAACAATATGCGAGGGGCAATAGACACATTGGGAGCAAAGCCATTTTTAAGTGCATAGGCTAGAATCTGACTGGGTGTTATTGTAGGCCTCAAGATAGGAGCCAATATTGTAAGTTCCTCACAAAGTTGTGCTCCATCCAGGTCAGCATCTCCTGATTTATCATCAGTCAGAATATTCTGCAAGTCTATACAGTACTCCATAACTGCTTCCCTTGGTACATCTTTAAGTTTTTGTATATTATAAAGAAACTGGAAGTGCTTGCTGTGGTGCTTAATTTGCCCAAATCTCTTATCAAGAGCATTAATACATACATCCAAAATGCTGTAAAAGCACTCAATTTTAAAAAAATTTGCAGGATCACAAATCCGATCATCCGGTGCTTCATAACAAAACATCCTTTTTTTTTTTAGTTTGTCGCACAAAAGGAGGAAACACAGGATCTATTTCCATTTCTAATGATAGGTCTTTTGCCTCTTCCAGTAAATCTTCAAACCCTTTATCAGAACGATAATTCTTCAAATAATTGGTTGTGGATTCCAGAATATCTATAACATCTGGGAGATACATACTTCTACTTTGGAGAAGTTTGCTAACAAAGTTTATTCTATTTAAGATGTTGTACCACAACACAATAAGACACAAAAATTTAAAGTTATTCAGTTCTTTTGAAAGAGATTCAGCATCAGACTGTGCCATTGCCGTGTGAGAGTTCTCTCTCGAAATTTCAGAGAGATCATCAAACATTTCTCCAACCTGGAACCTAAATGGACGAATAGCATCTATTCTTGAAGACCATCTGGTGTCAGACAAAGGTTTAAGTGTAAGTCTGCCAATGTTCAAGACATTCCACCGAACTGTGGATCCTGACAAAAACACATAGATTTTCTGTACAATAGAAAAGAAGGTTGCAGCATCCCTGCATGACATGGCTGCATCATTCACAACTAGATTTAATGTATGAGCGCTGCAGGGAATATAAAAGGCACGCGAGTTTAAATCCAGGATTCTTTTCTGAACACCTTGGTGTTTGCCCTTCATATTGGATCCATTATCGTATCCTTGTCCTCTCATATCACCAACTGGGATCTTAAGTTTTTCAAGTTCAGACAAAATTGCCTCAGTTAAACCTTCTCCAGTTGAACTTTGGATTTGGATAAAACCTAGAAATTTTTCATCTATACAGATCTCTGGTTCAGCAGTTGGAGACTCGCCTTCCTTGATGGACACAAATCGAACAATTATAGTCATTTGTTCAATTAATGTAATGTCTGGTGTGCAATCAAGTATTATAGAATAATACTTTGCATTTTTCAACAACTGCAGAATGTGTTTTGTGATTTCTTTCGCTATAAGGCTGATGAGTTCGTTTTGAATGTCTTTCCCCAAATAATGTTGGAAAATGTCCTTATTTTTTATTCTCTTCAGATGTTCCTGCATAACGGTGTCGAATGTGGCCAGCATTTCCACAAGTTGCAGATAATTCCCATTATTGTCACTGTATAATGTATCTCTGCTACCTCGGAAAGCCAAGCACTGGCGACCAAGATATTTTACTATGCCTATAAGGCGCTTAACAACATCTTGCCAATGTTGTGTTTCATTTGCCAACAATCTCTGGGAAGCTGCATCTATCGTTTTTCCACAACCAAATCTTCTCGAGAGTTCATTCCAGTCTCTTATAGCGACAAGATGAGAGTTAGACTTTTCATGAATGGAAAGATTTTGAGATAAGTTTTTCCAGTCATTGTAACCTCCACGTGTCAAACTTGTAGTGACTTTAGTTGCAAATAGCTTACAACAAAAACAAAATACTTTGTTCAATTTGACAGAATAAACCAGCCAATTTCTAATGGTTTCTTCTCCGTTTGGCAGCCGTCACTTGTAATTTGCTTTAGTGAAACGTCTATTCGCTGCATCTTTGGGGAAAATTAAGTTAGTTTTTTGCTTTGCAGGCCCTTTCCTGACAAGAGCATCCCTTAGTGAGGTGGTGAGAACAGCTGGCCAATTAGCTGGATCAGACTAATCCAGTATTGCTAAAGAAGTAGATTGTTCCTCCTGCTGCAGTTCCTCTCTTTCTTCTTCTTCTTCGTCATTTGATTCTTCTGGGTCAATAGTCTTCTCAAGGTAGACAGAGTGTGATGATGTGGAAGGTTGCTCATCATCTTGTTGTTCTGGTATTTTTCCAGTATTTGCATCATCTACATTAACAGCCTCTTCGACTGAGATGGGCTGTTTAAATGATGATGTTGAAGATTCATCGATATCGATTTGTACGGGTTCGCTTGCAACATTGGAAACTGGTTCTGATGCAGTAGTATCTTGCTTTCTCCTTTTGTGAGAAGTCAAGTACTCCTTTAAAGCTTCAGACATCCGCTTCCCAGCTTTCTCTTTTTCTGCTCGTCTTTGTCTGAACACTGCCCCTGATGAATTCTTTTCCTTAAATAGTTTCGGCATTTTGAATATACTTTTTCAGCTATATAAAGAATAAGAATGATGTTTAATTTCACACACACAATTAGGAATTATAACATTATAAGGAAAAGTGAAATTTCATCCATAGCTCAACCTGCCTTCCTCGCTCTGGTCATGCTCCTTGATGCAGGTTCTTTCCTTCTCTGCAACAGCTAGAACAGGCCAGCCTTGTCCAAACCGTTCCTTCCTTTCATTGTGTTCCTCTCAGAGTATCTGCTTTGCTTCTCCACCAACTTAATAATCCCTCAAAGTTCAAACCTGCTTGTTGCAGGGCTTGACAAATTTGTTTGCGATCTAGGGGCCAGCTAAAAAAGTTGGGAGCAAGGTTTTCCAAAAAAACCCAACTATTTTTAAAGGGACACTATAGTCACCAGAACCACTACAGCTTAATATTCTGGTGTCTAAAGCCTGCCCATGTAGGCCTTTAAATGTAAACACTGCATTTTCAGAGAAAGGGCAGTGTTTACATTGCTCCCTATTAACACCTCTAGTGACAGTCACTCAGATGGCCAGAACCAGTAGAGGTGATTCCTAGTTCAGTGCTGCACAGTGTGCATCTTTACGAGTATATTGTCGCAGTGCAACGTTTTGCAGCGCATTTACAATAGACTTCCAATGCTTTCTTACAAGAAAGGAGGGGGGGGGGGGAGGGAGGCAGAGGAGGTAACCTAGAGACACACATATTTTGTCATACACTCACAAATTATTATTTATTTATTTTAAGCACACCCAGCCTCCCTACCTTTGGGAGAGCTGGAGTGGATTCTTTCACTAGGATGCGGTGTGGCTACTCTCTATTCTCCCTGCCCTTCTTTCTGTGCTCCATTGCGTGCTGCTTAGTGATGCTGGGGCTGGAGTGATGTCATATTCCAGATGCATGCATCACTAACCAGTATGGGAAGAAACAGAGCAAGAACTGCAGGAAGATTACTGCTCCATGCTCCCTCGGCCAGCCGCATCTGGTGAATGGGTTAACAAACACCCAGGCGTCAGGACAAAATTCCTAGTCTAGTCCTAGCATTTGTCGAGCCCTGCACTAGTACAAGTGATGTACTATTTCCCGACATGTTTTGTGTTGTGATTACAATGCAAAATCCTTAAACATTTACAAAAATAAATACATGTAAAAAAAACAACCTACAATTACAGACATAAATATACTACATTAAGCCATGCGCTCAAATTCTCACTTTTCCTGGGCAGTATTAATGACCATAGTACACATCCCCAATACAGACAATAAATCACTATGTACATTTAATATAATTTTAACAGGCAGATGAGCTAAAATACTCATACAAAAAAACCTCCAGTTATTTAAATGTACATAAGGATTTGGAATTGTACGCAGGTAACTTTTTTCTTTTTTTTTTTTTTATAAATTACACACACACACACACACACACACACACATTTACTGCAATTTTCACAGTGGAATTAATAGCTTAGCTGTGTATAAAGTACATAAACATTAAATAACCTACCCACCCTGAGAATACAGCGAACAGAGTGGCAAAGAATTGGGGGATAAGGTATTAAGGTGAAAGACTGACACAGGTTGGGGACAGAGTAACTAGCGTGGCAGGGTATTAGTGGCATAGAGGCTAAGAGAGGCATGGGATTACTGCCCTTTGCACGTAGTGCTGCAATGTAAAACATTGCAGTTCCAGAGAACTGCAATGTTTACATTGCAGCACTAAGTCTGCCCCAGTAGCTGTCTACCAGAAAGCCACTGGGGGCGCTTGTGGAATCGAAACAGACTTTTGGTCTGTTATCTGATGCTGGACGTCCTCACGCCTTGTATGAGGACCTCCAGCGACAGATTTTTCCCCATAGGAAACCATTAATTCAATGATTTCCTATGGGGAGGTCTAATGCGCGCTCGACATTTGTTGCACGCACAGCATTTGCTGCGTATACGCATTAGACCCAGCTAGGCGCAACGCTGAGATAAGGTAAGTAAATAAAGGGATTTAACCCTTTATTTAAAGGGGGAGGCAGAGGGATCAGTAGTGCTAGGAATACAGCTTTGTATTCCTGCTACTACAGTACTACAGTATCCCTTTAAGCAGATACAGTGAAGCAAGACTAAACAATTAGGGACCAAGTGAAATGGGGCTTGTGGGACACAGTGACAAAGGAGTGAGAAATGGGATGCAGAGGGACAAATGATAATAGGAGATTTGGGGACAAAGTGACAAGGAGTAGGAGCCTGTAACCCCATGTCACTCTGACACCTTAAAGGACCACTATAGTGCCAGGAAAACATACTGAGGGGGAAGGCTTAACCCATTCATAAACATAGCAGTTTCTCTGAAACTGCTGTGTTTATTAAAAAATGGGTTAATCCTAGATGGACCTGGCACCCAGACCACTTAATTAAGCTGAAGTGGTCTGGGTGTCTAGAGTGGTCCTTTAATGCCCTGACAGGGGATACAGAGTATAATTCAAAAATTAAATATAATTTTTCTTTAAAAACTTACCCCATTCAAGTGCTGACAGCCAGGTCTATAGTGAGGTGGATCTGAGGAGACTGCAGTCTGCAGACACTATGGGGAGCAGTCTAGCACGCAGAAGAGGTCACTGTTCTCCTTCCAGCCAGGTAAGTCTGCTGTCCCTTCTGCAGGACTTGGACAAGATGGAGGCAGGGGGAGAGGGCGGGCAGCGGAAGTCTGGCCCCCTACTCACTGTAGGATATTGCACTCCGCCATACTGGAGCCCACCTGGGCCTGTCTGCTTCCCTTTCCTCCGTCTCACTCCCTCTCGCTGCACTTCACATGGGCGCCGCCATATTGGAGCCAGCCAGCAGGGGGAGCCTGTCCCTGCCAGCATCGGACCGCAGGGGACTCTGGGGGAGGTGAAAGTCGCGCCCCTCCTGACATCATCAGGAGGGGGCGGGCCCGGGCGGCACAGCACAGACTTCACCTCCTCCGGGATCGGACCGTCTATGGAGGGAGCCAGCCAGGAGAGGTAGGCTGCGGGCGGCTGTATAAAAATCCGAATCGAGAGAGAGAGAGAGAGAGAGAGAGAGAGAGATATCCGCAGTCTGTCAATAATTAAAATTCCTGTGTAGGAAAGGCCCCAGTGCATTGCTTTGCCCGGGGGCCCTTAACTCTGTTAAAATGGTACTGCTTGTGTGTGTCCCTGAACTTCTTTGTAGTGAGCCTTCTGTTTATACAAGTGAGTTTGTCTGTAGTAAGCTTGTGTGTGAGTCAGAGAGTTTTGTCTGTCAGTAAGCCTATTTGCACATGTCAGTGAGTGTGTGTGCTTACTGTACTATATATATATATATATACATATATATATATATATATATATACTCTACACATATATATATATATATATATATATATATACACACACATATATATATATATATATATACACACACACATATATATATATATATATACTAACCAACCTGCCATATATATATATATATATACACACACATATATATATATATACACACATACTGCTGCCTGCTGCCGCACTTATACACGCACTGCCTTATATACACACGCCGCCTTGCCGCCATATACACACTGCCTGCCACTGCCTTATATACACACATACTCTTATATATATATATATATATATACACACACATACCTTACTTATATACTTATATATATATATACACACACATATATACACACATATATATATACACATACATATATATATATATATATATACACATACTTGTAGGAATGGCATACTTTTTTTTTTTTTTCAGGGCAGCTTTGGATTCCCAGTTTGGCTCTGCCAGCGACTGCACTTTACCTCTGAATCACCTGTGTGAGCTGCCGCACACTTTAGCCCTGTTACATGCGTCTGGGAGCTGCTGTTGACAGGTACTAGCAGTCTAGAGATTGGGACATGGGGTATATGCTCAGCTATCTGTACAATACAGATCTGTGTGTTTATAATATCCCGGGATAGTCAGTGCTTCCTGTATAGTGCTGCTCTCTGTATAATACAGGCCTGTGCCTGTATAATATTCAGAGACAGTCAGTGCTCCCTGTATAGTGCTGCTCTCTGTCTTGGGATATTATACACAAACAGACCTGTATTATACAGAGAGCAGCACTATACAGGGACCACTGACTGTCCCAATTTATTATACACACAACTCTGTATTATACAGAGAGCACTGACTGTCCAGGGATAGTAATTGATAGGTGTGCTGCAAAAAGGTCCTTGGAAATTTTTTTCAAATGTTGGCAACTATGGCACTGTATCAAGGGTAATGTGTTTGTTTTTTAATAATCCCTGGTGGAAAATAATGAATCCTCCACCAGGGATTATTTAAAAAAACAAAACAAAAAAAAACCACACACATTGTGTCGGGGGTGGGGCTTAACATGCAACAGAGGCGGGGTCAAACTGCAGGGAGGGCGGGGTTAAATGTGCCCCCCTACTTTTGTCCCTGGCCCTCCATGTGCCCCCCCTAAAAATGAATCCTAGAGACGCTACTGAATAGAACAACTTTAATTTATTGTAATTTCATTATGCAAGCTACTCTCATGGTCAATCAGGCTGGATGGAATGAACACAGATAATGAATAAGTTGAAATTCTGTATTATCAAGTGGGGCAGACTATAGGTGCCAGGGACAGTCCTGGGTTGTGCCAAGCCATTATTAAACAGTTTGATAAGCCACGCAGGATGGCAGTCAGATTCTTTGCACCATAACCATTACACCAAGCTGTATGATTAGTTATTTACTATTTAGATAGTCAGCGGGTAAGATATAGAATAAGAAAGGGTTCCTCTGTCTTGGTTTTAAATATCAAAACTTTCCTTATGTAAGCCATGTGGGAGTGACTTCAACTGTGACTGTACAAAAGGAGTAAAAAGACAATGCCAATTTTTTAAATAACTTTATTCAGACGTGTTATTTTCTCCCGTAGTGTAAACTATTTTTTTGAAACTGAAGAACATCATGGAAAACATTAGAAATAAACCACCAAAAGACAACCTTTGCTTTATTCAATATAATCACACCCCCCTGTTCTAATCGCCATCAGAAACCCCTTGAGGAACGATGACGGTCCTGAACCATCATAACGTAAAACGAGCAGCAGGAGCTGCCGCTGAAACACAGCTGTTACTATCTCCCTCGCATGCCTGGCAGATAGTAACAGCGAATTACAGGTGATACTCAAAAAATTAGAATAGCGTGCAAAAGTTAATTTATTTCAGTAATGCAACGTAAAAGGGGAAACTAATATATGAGACAGAAGCATTACAGGCAAAGCAAGATCGTTCAAGCCGTGATTTGTCATAAGTGCTACAGCCCCTGAAAACCCCAAATCCACAATCTCAGTAAATTAGAATATTACATGCAATCAATAAAACAAGGAGTGTACATAGAACAATATCGGATCTCTGAAAAGTATAAGCATGCATATGGACTCAGTACTTGTTTTGGGCCCCTTTTGCAGCAATTACTGCCTCAATGCAGCGTGGCATGGAAGCTATCAGCCTGTGGCACTGCTGAGGTGTTATGGCGGCCTTCAGCTCTTCTGCATTGTTCGGTCTCATCTTTCTCATGGCAATGCCCCATAGATTCTCTATGGGGTCCAGGTCAGGTGAGTTTGCTGGCCAATCAAGTACAGCAATCCCACGGTCACTGAACCAGGCTTTGGTGCTTTTGGCAGTGTGGGCAGGTGCCAAGTCCTGCTGGAAAATAAGGTCAGCATCCCCATAAAGCCCGCCTGAGGAAGGAAGCATGAAGTGCTCCAAAATCTCCGGGTAGACCGCTGCGTTGACCCTGGACTTAATGAAGCACAGTGGACCAACACCAGCAGATGACATGGCTCCCCAAATCAACACAGACTGTGGAAACTTCACACTGGACTACAAGTAACTTGCAGTGTGTGCCTCTCCATTCTTCCTCCAGACTCTGGGTCCTTGGTTTCCAAATGAGATGCAAAAGTTGCTCTCATCAGAAAAGAGGACTTTGGACCACTGAGCAACAGACCAGATTTTTCTTTAGCCCAGGTAAGACGCTTCTGATGTTGTTTGTTGTTCAGGAGCGGCTTGACAAAAGGAATACGACATCTGAAGCCCATGTCCAGGATCCGTCTGTGTGGTGGCTCTTGCTGCACTGACTCCAGCCTCAGTCCTCTCCTTGTGAAAGTCCCCAACACTTTTGAATGGCCTTTTCCTGACAATCCTCTCCAGGCTGTGGTCATCCCTGCTGCTTGTGCACCTTTTTCTTCCACACTTTTCCCTTCCACATAACTTTCTATTAATGTGCTTTGATACAGCACTTTGGGGCATCCAACTTCCTTCGCAATTACCTTTTGAGGCTTTCCCTCCTTATGGAGGGTGTCAATGATGGTTTTCTGCACAACTGTTACGTCAGCAGTCTTCCTCATGATTGTGAGTCCCACTGAACCAGACTGTGAGACCATTTAAAGGCTTAGAAACCCTTTGCAGGTATTATGGCTTACTTAACTGATTAGAGTGGGGAACTGTGAGCCTAGAATATTGCACTTTTTCACAATATTCTAATTTACTGAGATCGTGGATTTGGAGTTTTCATGAGCTGTAAGCCATAATCATCGAACTTATGACAAATCACGGCTTGAACTATCTTGCTTTGCATGTAATGCGTCTATCTCATATATTAGTTTCCCCTTTTACGTGGCATTACTGAAATAAATTGTCAGAGTATTTATATCGGCAGACATTTTGTGCTATGATAGAAACTAAAAGTGTATATTCTGAGTCACTCTGAACAGACCAGACTCCATTTTGTTATTCCAAGTTAAAAAAGAGACACAGGATTTCTTTCTGTAAGACTGGCCTCTTTGCCAGAGCTAAGGAATGCATAGCATAGTATAAACAAGTGCTAAGAATATAATCAAATCTAAACCCAGACAATTGTGACAGAGAAGATTAAATAATAAAATTTAACTGTCTACATATATATAAGGTACCATTGTATGGAAAAGGGTAAACTTAGTTCATGATCTGTCATATCAGAAATTATGGCAGGAATTGCAGACGCTAAGTCTGGACAAAATTTAAGAAACCCTTTGAAATTTGAAATTATAGCCACTATCTAGATAGGCCAAAATGACGTCAAAATAGCCACCAGGAAAAGTTAACTCTTTCCTGGATAGGTATGTTTAGTGGGACAAGACTGCCCTCTATAGACCAAATAACTAATTTGCGATCTGGAAGATAACCACACCTCTAGTGCTTCTATTGGGTTATCAACTGATGACGTACAGAGAGTCTGGCCCTTTAAAAGTTAAGACAAAGGGAAGATAGAAAAGAGGAGGCAGATGCAAGATATGCAAAGGAGAGGAGAGAGGAATTGGAAGTTTGGGGATTCCAACTCGGACAACATCTGAGACTAACACTCTACTCCCAAAACTCTAACACTTAGAATTTACTGACTTTCACCAACACCTCCATGCAGAGAGAGACATCCAAATAAGTTCCTGAGACTATCTACCAATCGGATGAAATATCTACTCAACTGGTAATTATACTGGTTTCATTTAATTTATTAAATTAATTAAAATGTATTAATAGCATTATATATGACTGGATAAAGCACGGTCAGATTTCCATATTAAGAAATCTTAGTTAACTAAGAATATATAGTTATAACCATTCCATTCTGCAGGTGGAATTAAGAATAATTATATATTGATGTGATATTATCACGTGTTAGCATACCGCTGTTTTTATCCAGGTGTATTGATTTGTTCTAAATTAAGATAGATATCTTTTAGACAAATTAAAAATCTGCTTATATAATATGGTAGATTCTCTTATTGGATGATTTTAAGAAAATGACTAATGAACTGGGTTAAATGTTATTTTATTTAAAAATACATAAGAATAGATCTTAACTACCTAGGAGATCTAGCCAGCATTGAAAGGGTTATTCTAACTGTCTGCTAAACTTTACGACCTTACGCTGCACTCTGAGGAATTCTGTTCTTCGCTGTGAAAAGTTTCACTTTCAGCCTGTGTTAAAGATAGTCATAAATAATTCTTGACAGGAAATGCTATTTAGCCATTGTAACGTAATACCCATTTCTTTGTATTGCATATAATTTTGTACTGGATATTCATTGATTATTGTCATGCATGTTACATAATATTATTTGTTAATTATTGGTTATCATAAATAAAATCTATTTTTATACATTGTGATTATTTATATGAAATACTTTCCACTTAACACGATAAACGTTCTTTGGGATCTGAGAATTGAATTAGTGGGCAATTCTCAACTGTTTACTATTATTATCCCATAAATATCCCCACAAAATGAACTTTTGCACAATATTCTAAGTTTTCGAGTATCACCTGTATGTTGTTTGAGCGATACATGATCGCTCATAATTGGCTGATGTCAAAGTTGGTGTTACAAACACTCACTTTAACAGTGATCTCTGCCTCCTCTGTAGCATTTTGAGAGGGAGAGACAGAGCTCATAGTAGTTTGCTGCCAGAACCTGTGAAAGAGAGTAAAAAATTATACAATTCCATTTTACTCCTTTCCTGCCAAATCCTGTTACAGTAGTGCATTTGCTTATTTTTTGCCCTTAAGGGTTATTTTGTGTTAAAAACCAGTGTATTAGGTAGTTTGTTATTTTAGCAAAGGGTTAGGTAGATTGTGTAAAAAAAAAAAAAAAGAAAAAAATTACATAAAAAAAACTACATTGTGTTAGTAATTTGTTAGTTTAGTCAGTTAGGTAAGGGTGTTGGTGAAATATGCAGCACATGTACAGTTTGGAGGAGGCATATGCATTCTTGGCGTCAGACTCTGACACTACTGACTCTGTGTCCGATTTTGATCCAGGTCAGTTTCTGACACGTTTAGTGACACATCATCTGTGTGTGAACCAGCTGCAAAAAGAAGCTGTGCTTCCCCTGCTACGCCGAATGTGGATGAAGAGTGGGTACCTCCACAGTTAGCTGAGCCCAACATCCCCCCCTTTTAGTGCCAATGCAGGCATTAATGTCAATGTGCATGACTTCTCTATATGGAGTTATTTTTAGGGGATACCATCTGGGAGGAGATTGCTTCACAGACTAATCTATATGCTACCCAATTTATTAATACCAATCCGGGTAGCTATGCAGTCAGGGAACATGCTTGACATCCCACAGATGTCCCGGAGCTGAAAAAATTCTTGGCTCTTACTATGCTCATGAGGATTATAAAGAAGCCATCAATTCGCTCTTACTGGAGCACCAACCCTATCTGTTCTAGTCCAGTGTGCTCCCCAACCATGTCTAGAGCAAGATATGAGTTGCTACTCCGCTTTTTACACTTTAATGACAATACCCTCTGTCATCCCAGAGATCAGCCCCAATATGATAGGCTTTATAAAATATGCCCACTGATAGGCCATCAACAAAATACATTTTCTGAAGTTTATACCCCCCAACAAAATGTATCTATTGACGAATCCTTTATTAAATATAAAAGGGAGATTAGGATTTAACCCCTTAAGGACCAAACTTCTGGGATAAAAGGGAATCATGACATGTCACATGTCCTTAAGGGGTTAAAGAGTTCCTCTCTAGATATGGCGTAAAATTCTACAAAAGTTTGCGAGAGCGAAAGTGGCTATAAATTTGCCTTTCACGTATATGAGGGACCCTCCTGGTCCTATCCTGGACCCTCCTGGCTGTCCTGACTTTCTGGGGACAAGTGGGAAAATTGTTGAGACCTACTGATCCCCATGTTCAATAAAGGTTACCACTTTTATGTGGACAATTTTTATAGCAGTGTCCGTTTGTTTCAAACACTTTATGGTTTGCGGACACTGGCCTGCGGCACTGTGAGAAAAAACTGCAAAAGATTTCCCCAGACCTTTATACAGGCCAAAAAAAAAAAAAAAAAAGAAGAAAGCAAAGCTCTACGCAATGCTGAAGTGCTAGCAATAAAATTTGAGGACAGGAAGGATGTTAACATGCTAACCACCATCCACGACGAAAGAATGTCAGACGTCACTGTCGGAGGCAGAGTACAGACCAAACCTGTTTGCATCAGGGCTTATAATAGGCACATGGAGGGTGCTGATATGGCTGATCAACTGATGCAGCCATATCTTAAGAAGGACGAAAGCCTGGTATAAAAAAAGTGGCTAATTCATTTTAACTTTTTAAAATAAATACAGGAAAAACCACCTTTCTCCAATTTCTACAATAATTTATAACGATGGTCTAGTTCCAACAACAGTGCTAGGGGAGTCCGGAATTGGTGCAACATATTTCATTTTTAAGATACCGACAACTAAAAAACAAACAAAAAATACACCCAAAAAAAAAAAGGACTGTCCCAATTGCCCTTCAAAACCTGGACTGTGTATTGAAACTTGTTTTAAGCTCTACTACACAAAATATACATTTTTGTAATACTTCCTCATTTTTTTTTTAACTTTGTGTCTTTTGAAAGAGGCAAATTTTCCTTGGTTTCCTTCTGCCAAATCTCCAGTTAGATTCTTTTTGCAGGAGTTAGTTTAGATATTACTGCTAAATGTACATTTGATACCTGCACATTTGTTCTTTAAAAAGTTTATGTTTTCTGGCAGTAAAATCTAAAAGCAATATGTGCATTTAAAAAAATAAAAATAAAAAAAGAAATGTGTGCAGAATTCAAAAACCACCACCACCACACTTTCTCAGAATTTTTTGGGCAAAATGGTTGGGGGAAAGAAGTCAAAACACCCCATCTTCTATAATCTTGGATGTCTACTTTATAAAGAATATATACTTTTAAACCATAAATTCAACTTGGGGATGTAAAAACGCACCACACTCAACACGTGCCTAGCAAAGAAAGCAAACTATATTCAGCCAAAATAGGCAAGTCCAATATTTGTTACTGTAAAATTGTGGCAAACCAATGCATAGGGGGCATAGGTGTACTCAGGGGACATTGCAGAAAACAGAAATTTTTACTTACCGTAAATTCTTTTTTTCCCTCAATATGGTGGCAGTACCTGAGGGTTTGCCCTTTCCTGTGGGACAAGCACCTAAAAGAAATAAAATTGAGCAAATCCTTCCCCCTTGCCCTATAAAGGGCTACTAAGGAAAACCTACCCCAGTAAGTATTCATAAACTGCAAGAAAAAAACATTTTAATTTAGAGGGAGGGAAGCTGTACTGCCACCATATTAAGAAAAAAAGAATTTGGTCCTACGCTACTACAGCTTGTAACACCTTAAGCCCAAAGGCCGCTTCAGAGGATGAGAATATATCTAGCCTGTAGTGCTTAGTGAAGGTGTTGAAGGAAGACCAAGATGCTGCCTTACAGATGTCTTCTGGAGAAACAAGAGCCCTTTCTGCCCATGAGGCATCCATAGCCAGAGTGGAAGGAGCCGTTAGAGAAACTGGAACTTGAAAACCACTGGAAGAATATGGCAATCTAATAGCTTGAATGAGCCAACAAGAAAGAATTGCGGGAAGCTTCTTTCCCCTTGAATTTTCCCTGGAAGTTAAACAGATTGTCAGAATTCCTGTACTCCTTAGTCCTAGAAAGATACATTTGCAATGCTCTTCTGTCATCTAAGTTATGCCATTTAAGCTCCTGAGGAGAGGAGGCATTACCACAAAAAGAAGGTAAAACAATTGGTTTATTCCCTGTCTTTGAGGACAAAACCTTTGGTAAAAAGGAAGGTTTAAGGTGAAGAACAACCTTGTCCTTGTGGAATACTGTAAATTCATCTAAGGAAGAAAGCGCCTGAAGTTCACTGACTTTTAGCCGATGTGATGGCCACCAAAAAGGCAACCTTGAGGGACAAAACTTTTAAGGGAACCTCTTCCAAAGACTCGAAAGGGGGTTCACAAAGAGCCTGTAAAACCAAGGATAAATCCCAGGAGGGAAAAACAGATCTCCTAGGAGGACGTCTGAGCCTGATGGATTTAAAAAAATCTTCTCATTAGCACATGGGATGCAAAATCCTTAAATCAGGAAGAAACTCGAGGCTGAAATCTGAACTTTTAGAGTAGATACACCTAAACCTGCAGAAAAACCATCCTGGAGAAAGTGAAGAATGTGTTCCTTACACCTGACCCATATACGAAAGTAGATCTTTGAAGTAGAATGTCTAGTTGATTTAAGTAAAATAGCAATTCTGTCTTCTTGCAGACCTTGATGACGAATAATTAACCTAGCAGTAGCCAGGCCGTCAACATGAACATCTTCAGAATCTCTAGTGATAGATTCCTGTTCACTATGAGATCGTTCGAGATTGGAAGTTCCCAATGTGCGGAGGCAATCTTCTTTAAAGCAGAGAACCAAACCCTATTTGGCCAGTACAGAATAATAGCAAGGATCACAGCTCTGTCTGCTCTTATTTTCTGAAGAATCCTTGGAATTCGCTTCAGTGGAGGAAAGACGTAGGCCACCCTGAAATTCCACTTCATTGATAGTCCGTCTATCCCCTGAGGGTGATTTGCTCTGACTTTTTTGAGGATGAGTAAGCAGAAACAAGAAAATTTGATCTTGGCCTTCTCGTGAAGAGTATCTTGTAGCAGTCTTGTATTAGATTTAGAATCCATGGATTGCTTGTAGTCCTTTCCCATGTATTGTAGAACGGTTGGATTCTTCCTCCCACTCTTTTGGCGTCAGAAACGTTTACCTTTGTCCACTCTGTCAGATCTCTTGAAATCGCCTCTTTGTCCAAAATTTCGATTTTTTTCTTGCCTTTGAAAATAACGAGGCCTCTCTTGGTATGACCTCCTGTTTCTATACTGGAAATTCCTGTTACCTGCTTTCCATGCAAATTCTCTCTCTTGAGGTAGAGCCTTCTTAGTCTCTGACATTTGTTTTAGGATTTCCTCTAAGAGAGACCCAAACAGCTTCTGCTTTTCCAGGGGAAGCTCACAAAGGACCGATTTAGACGCGGTATTAGTCGTCCATGATCTTAAATCAAAGCTCGCCTGGCTACCGAGGATAATCCCATGATACTAGAAGCCAGCTTCAAAACTTCCACAGTCATATCCATCAAAAATTCATTTGACAACCGTAAATTCTGGAACAATCATGTCCTGCAATGCGTTGAGCCAAAAGCCATTAGCTCTGGCTACCGTAGCTCCTGCTAGTAAGGCTTTGCACTGAAAACCTGCTGTCTGAGAGGTTAGCCTGCAGGAGGTCTCCGCTCTTTTGTCCATAGGGTTCTCTAATGCCAAAACTGTCCCTATAGGTATAGTGGTCTTTTTAGAAAGTTGAGCTACCTGTACGTCCACTCTAGGAAGCTTTTCCCAAATCTCATCGCCCGTGATTTTAACAATTTCGTTAAAGTGCCGAGAAATAAAGGCTTGTTTTTCAGGATTTTTCCACTCTCTGTAGATAGGACCAAACTTCTGAAATAAAAGGGAATCATGACATGTCACATGTCATGTGTCCTTAAGGGGTTAAATCAATGAGAGGCTGTTGAACAGGAAAACCCTTTCTGGATTTTGCAGACATCTGATATCATGATCAGGTTTACTTCCTTCATAAACTTGCGTAGTTCATCTGGAGAGAACCCAAGAATTTCACATGAAGATGTACTAGACATGTCTGAATCTGTAGAGGAAGAACATTCACCAGATGACGTTTCAGATACAGAAGATCTCCTTTTCTTGACCCTCTGACTCATTTCAGGAATTGCAGCGGAAACTTTCTTAGATTCCTTAATAGTATAGTAATTAGTATCCAAGGTCTGGGCCAAGTTATCCTGAAACCAGGAAAGGAAAGATTGCATGTCTTTCTGTTTAGACTTTTCTTAGATTTTGACGCAGCCTTTCTAGGCGTAGGCATTTTCTCCTTCTCCATTTCTGGATAGACAGGACTAGACATATCTGAAAACAAAAGAATAAAAACTTGTCCTTTTTTCTAGATTTTTTGTTTCTACAGAGATAATTTTAAAGTACATATTAGCTAATCTCACCTCAAAATACCTCTGCACCGTGTGGGGGGAAAGAGGGGTCGTGACACGGCGGGCCTCTTCTGGCAAGCATCCATGCTGTCAGTGGGTACTTGCACAGGTTATATATGCTGAAATTCAATTTTTGCCTTTAAAAAAAAATTTAAATAAATAACGTTCCGGTTGGCGCATGCGCAGTCGGAACTTTTGGTGATACGCATCACCTCCCAGGCGTGGGTTCCACTGCTGTGCGCAGGGCTAATTACATACCTCTGCCCAGGACCGCTTCCATGAAGAACGCTGGAAACCTTCTCGGCATAAGAGGCATGACAGTCTTCGCTACGTAACCGCAGAGGCAGGAGAATAGCCGCTCAGCCTACCATCCGGGCAGCTACCAGGCCGGATCCCCCAGACCAGCAACCAGTGTGTCTCACCTCCCTAGATGCCCGTCTGTCCCTGACAGGGACAAGAAAGGAACTGGGGTAGGTTTGCCTTAGTAGCCCTTTAAAGGGCAAGGGATTTGCTCAATTTTATTTATCTTTCAGGTGCTTGTCCCACAGGAAAGGGCAAACCCTTAGGTACTGCCACCATATGTAAGAAAAAAAACAAAAACTTGGGTTTTTTCTGGCAGTAACATATAACCAGCTGGCTAAAATAAAAAAGCAGAATTCAAAATTTGCCATCATGCACCTTCTCTGAAATTTCCTTAGCACAATGGTTGGGGGAAGGAAGTTAAAACACCTAATATATAATATCCTGACATGTCTACTTTATAAAAATATATACTTTCAAGATGGTAACATTAACTGGGTGATGCAAAAATACGCGAAACTGAAGATAGGCCAAGCATACCTATATATCAAGTTGAAAAACGGACATGCACAAGTCTCTATCGCAGCCTTTTAGCCCCAAACAACCAAGCAAACCTAGGCATGGGTGGTATCACTCTTCTCAGGAGATGTTGCTGAACACATATTGGGGTGTTGTTCGGCAGTGACACATAACAGGATCTGTTAATTCATGCCTAAAGTGCAATGTGTGTAAAAAAAAACAACAAAAAAAAAAAACAAATTACTACCCAAAAGTTTGATAAGGGCTGGTGGTAGAATTAGTGCATGGAAAGTGTTAAATACCACCATTTAAAATACCCTGAGTTGTCTACTTTTCAAAAATATATGTCAAAATTCCAAGTTGAAAAATTGGATATGCGCACCTGCCAAATGTGGCCTTTTAGCCCCCAAACAACACGACAAACCTATGCATGGTTGCTATCACTGTATTCAGGAGATGCTGCTGGACACATATTAGTGTGTTTTTCGGCAGCAACACATAACAGGGTGTGTGAATTTATACCTGAATTCCAATGAAAAAAAAAAAAAAAAAAATCTAAAAAATTACCTATGCGAAGTTTGGCAAAGATTGGTGCTAAATTGGCTGCATAGAAAGTGTCAAAATATCCTTAGATGAATACCCTGGGTGGTTTACTTTACTTGTATTTATAGCCCTATAACTTTCAAAAAAATAAAAAATGCAACACTGGGTGTTTTTAACCCCTTAAGGACCAAACTTCTGGAATAAAAGGGAATCATGACATGTCACACATGTCATGTGTCCTTAAGGGGTTAAACTGAGAAAAAAAAATGTGGAATCCATTTCTGTAAATGAGTAAAAGATTTTTAAAGTAAAAACATTTTTTTAAAAATAATTTTTCACCATATTTTATTTTAAGTAAATTATATGACATGATACAAATAACGTTATGTGAAGAAAGCCCTTCTTTTCCGGAAAAACACAATATATAATTTGTATGGGAACAGTAAATGAGAGAGAGGAAAATTACAGCTAAACACAAATCCCATAAAAGTGTTAAAACAGCCCTTGTCCTACATGGCCAAAACGGTCCAGCCCTAAAGGGGTTAAGCCCTGCAACACGGTTCAATGAACCAACTCTGTACGCAATTTTACAGGTAAACTTTAATTTTTGCTGTAGCACCATCACAGAGCAATCGCATGTATATGCTAATTTAGAACAGGAACACAAATAATTCAAATAGGATTGGTTCCATGAGAATTTTAGAGGTTGCAAAATCATGGTTTAGAATAACTGCATAATAGCAGTAGAGTACTACTAAGGACTGCATTCAAAACAGAACATCTTTATTGCTAACCGTGACCTGTCAACCGACAGCTATAGAAATCTTACATAGTTGTAATCTCTGCAGCAGGATGTGGGGTTTAAAACAGGCTGAAGCTCTATTTAAGTTTGTCAGTTCTGCCCACAATGTAATTTTACATTTATAGTCAAATGTGGCTGACATATTTTGGGGGGCCAAATGGAAATCTGGAAAAGGCAAATATGAGAAAATATAACAAATACAAGTTAACTGATACAGTAAAATTTTATTTTAAAGGAACACTATGGTGTCAGGAATACAAACCTATATCCCTAACACTAAAGTGAGTAACTATTTAGGTTACTGCACCGCCCCCCAATCACATGGGAAAGGCATTTTTACACACCTGTTTTCCCACGCTGTGCTAGACTTGCTGTAGCTGGCTCCACCTGCATGGCTAAGCATCAATCTTGATGTTTTCATCCAATCCAATGGTTTCCCATAAGAAAGCATTGGGAGACTATTGTGCATTTGCAGCAAAACACAGCCCTCGCTAATCAGTATCTCCTCATTAGAGATGTACTGAATTAATGCATCTCTATAGGGAAGGATCAGCACTTCCATGCAATGCGTGGAGACACAGAACGAAGGCGCTGCACTTGCAGCACTGGACTAGGAAGCACAACTAGTGGCTGTCTGAGTGACTGCCACTAGAGGTGTAACTAGGCAGCCATGTAAACACTGAAAAGACAGCATTTACAATGCTCAGCCTGCAGGAACAGGCTAGACACCAGAACCACAAAACTAAGCTAGTGGGGCTCTGGAGACTATAATGTCCCTTTAAGATAAAACGTTATACAGTTACCCAGCCTATGCTTTATTTTTACACACTCTCCTTGTAACATGGATTTTAATACACAGTACATACAACTGTTAAGCAGCAAATAATCCTTATTCATCTACTATTTCATAGAACCATACCATCGTAGAAGGAAAATTAAGCAATACATTTACTTCTACTGCATAGAGTATAAGTTTGCTCTTTGACTTAAGCTATTTAGTTTTTTTCCAATCACACAAAACATACAAATTTGTTTGTTTTATAAAAAAAAAAAAAAAAAACATCTTTTTTTAAAAAGTGAGCTTTTATATCCCATCAGGGAATTAAAGCATGTCAAGAGCAAGCAGAATAGGCATTTTTAAAGTCATTCACTTAAATTTTTGTTCTCAGTGTGAGTCAAGTTATGTTTGTTAAGACTTGACTTATATGCAAAACTTTTTTCACATTTAGTGCATGCGAACAGCTTCTCCCCTGTGTGGATTCTCTGGTGTTGTACAAGACGTGAACTAGATGCAAACGATTTTTCGCACTGAGAACATGGAAATGATTTCTCTCTAGTGTGGCTTCTCTGATGTGCGAGGAGGTGCGAGTTAACGCTGAAAGATTTCCCACATTCACAACATGTGAAGGGCTTTTCTCCTGTGTGAGTCCTCTGATGAATTATTAGATGAGAGACATGGATAAAGCTCTTCCCACATTCAGAACACGTGAAAGGTTTAACTCCAGAGTGTCTCTTCTGATGAGACAGAAGACTTGAATGCAGTGCAAAACATTTCCCACATTCAGAGCAGAAGTATGGTTTTAATCCCGTATGAATCAACTGATGTCGTACAAGGCTGGTTTTAACCGTAAAACACTTCCCACATTCGGAACAGGAGTATGGCTTCTGACCTGAATGTGTTTTCTGATGTGCAACAAGATTTGCTCTGTAAGTGAAGTATTTTCCACATTCTGGACATGAGAATACCTCCATCCCTGTGTGACTTTTGTAATGTCTGGAAAGACTTGATTTAGACGAAAGATGTTTACCACACTCTGAGCAAGACAGCCTATCTTCCCTATGGATTGACTTATGCCTTGACAATGCAGTGCTACTGGTAAAACATTTTGGGCACTCTGAGCAATTATACATCTGTATCCTATGTGTGCTTTCTTGAAGGGGATCCGAAGATACTTTATTTAAACCTTTGCTGCTGTCACTTTGCTGTTCTACTAACAAGCTGGAATACATTACTTGGTTTCCACTGGTTGTTTCCATCAATTCTTTATTAGTAATAACTATGTATTTTCTGGGTTCACTCAAGCTATCCCCTTCCATGTTATCTTCTTCACATGAGATTGATTCCTCCTTTATGTGTAGAGAATCATAGTCGCTCTCTGAAGGTTTGGAGGGTGTATTGCAGTCAACATCTGTGTTATCTCCATCTTTACATGAGACAGATTCCCCTTTGATATGAGTAAAAGGATATTTTGTCTGGATATATTCTGAAGGGGTGCAACTGCTGTCATCTGTCAAACAGTCCTCATCACTTGACAATGGTTCCTCCTTAATACGAATAGCTGTAAATTCATTCTGGCTATTTTCCATTGTTGTGTCAATTTCAGTGTCAGTGAGGTCCTCTTCTACGTGTGAAGCCAATCCTCCCTTAAAATGAACAGATGGATTTTTAAGCTGTGTATTATCGTCTGTGCATGTGTGAATGTGGATTTCTGTGAAATCATCTTCACAAGTATCGGATATCTTCTTAGCATGAGCAGATGTATATCCTGTCTGTGTATGTTCTGTGGATATACACACATCACTGTCTGTGAGATTTACTTCTTCACTGGATGTGGATTCTTCCTCACTCTGAGTAGCCTCAATTTCTATCTGGACATGTTCTATGGGTGTATAAATACCGGACTCTGTCGAATCAAATAGTTTGTATGAAGCAGATTCTTCCATGAATTGATTAGATGTATATTCAATCTGCGTATCTTCTGGGGGTGTAAAGATATACGTATCAGTGACATTACTTTTGTCTACATCTGAATCTTCTCCCACACTGCTTTCAGATATTTCTTGTACTTGTGGTGTGTTATCTATGATAAGATTTGTTGTGGTTTCAAGAACCCTGATACTAACAGTATCATTGATAACATCAGAAGAAGGCAAAGCGTCGGGAAGTCCTTCATTGACCGTTATTTCAATGGCTTCATGGCCTGAAAATGCAAGCAATAGTAATGAAAAATGTTAATTACAATCAACATTACATCAAGATTAGGATATTTTACAGATTTGTTCATTCAAGGATGTTAAATATCAAAAAGATGTAAAAATTATAATACAAAGAGTGACTCCTATCTTTAGAGAGATTATGAATGAAAAATAAATCTCATGAGCATTTTATATACTCTTATTCTGGTCTCTGGCGTATGATCTCATGACATATACACACGACAATCAGAGGTATATGTGGCTCAGCCCCCAGCACCAGTTTCTTTAATCACTTATGAGGAGTAACATTGCTCAATAATATGATAGTAGGCATTCTCAAACAGTTAAAGGGACACTACAGGCACCTATACAATTTTAGAGCAACCTTTTTAAAGGAGGTTTTAACCTCATTAATATGCTGTATTTTCTGCACGCTCGAATCTTAAATTGTTTTTACACTAAAATAAACAATGTTTTGCAGAATGCTGCCCCAGGAGCCTGCCTCCTTACTCGAGATAAATAATTCTTTATAATTTTATTCACACAGCTCAGCCATTGACAGCACTAAGTTATCTGAAATACAAAGCAACTTGCGTTAGCCTCTTACGGACCATGGCCTTTTTGGCACTTTTATCATACATTCATTATACCACAGTTACACCCTGTTTAAGTACACCCATACATATTAAATATAATTTGTTGAAGGAAATATATGCCCTCTTTTAATACCCCATATATACACATTGCTATGTATATGCAGACTATGGGTGCCAGGGACAGTCCTGGGTTGTGCCAAGCCATTATTAAACAGTTTGATAAGCCACGCAGGATGGCAGTCAGATTCTTTGCACCATAACCATTACACCAAGCTGTATGATTAGTTATTTACTATTTAGATTGTCAGTGGGTAAGATATAGAATAAGAAAGGGTTCCTCTGTCTTGTTTTTAATATCAAAACTTTCCTTATGTAAGCCATGTGGGAGTGACTTCAAATGTGACTGTACACAGGAGTAAAAATACATAATACCAATTTTGAATATAACTTTATTTAGACGTGTTATTTTCTACCTTATTGTAAACCGTATTTTTTTTTTTAAACTAAAGAACATCATGGAAAACATTAGAAATAAACCCTCAAAAGACAACCTTTGCTTTATTTAATATAATCACACACACACACCTCTGTTCTAGGCGATTGGTAACAGGAAATTAGAAATATTTACAGACTTTAAGCTTTACAACATGGTTCAATGGACCAACTCTGAAAGCAATTTTACAGGTAAACTTTCATTTTTGCTGTAATGACATCACAGAGCAATAGCATGTATATGCTAGTTTAGAACAGGAACACAAATAATTCAAATATGATTGGTTCCATTTTGAGACAATTTTAGAGGTTGCAAAATCATGGTTTAGAATAACTGCATAATAGCAATAGAGTACTACTAAGGACTGCATTCAAAACAGAACATCTTTATTGCTAACCGTGACCTGTCAACCGACAGCTATAGAAATCTTACATAGTTGTAATCTCTGCAGCAGGATGTGGGGTTTAAAACAGGCTGATGCTCTATTTAAGTTTGTCATTCCTGCCCACAATTGAATTTTACATTTATAGTCAAACGTGGCTGACATATTTTGGGGGAGAAGGGGGAAAGGAAGGGAGGAGGATTAATGACATTTAAAAATCAAAAAATAAAAATTCCCCCTTGCCTTTTTGAAATGAGCCAAATGGAAATCTGGAAAAGGCAAATATGCGAAAATATAACAAGTACACGTTAACGGATACAGTAAAATTTTATTTTAAAGGAACACTATGGTGTCAGGGATAAAGACCTATACTCCTAACACTTAAGTGAGGAACTGTTTAGGTTACTGCACCGCCCCCTTATCACATGGGAAAGGTGTTTATACGCACCTGTTTTCCCACGCTGTGATGGACTTGCTGTAGCATTGGGAGACTATTGTTCATTTGCAGCAAAACGCCGCCCTCGCTAATCAGTATCTCCTCATTAGAGATGTACTGAATTAATGCATCTCTATAGGGAAGGATCAGCACTTCCATGCAGGGTGTGGAGACACCGAACGAAGGCGCTGCACTTGCAGCACTGGACTAGGAAGCACAACTAGTGGCTGTCTGAGTGACTGCCACTAGAGGTGTAACTAGGCAGCCATGTAAACACTGAAAAGACAGCATTTACAATGCTCAGCCTGCAGGGACAGGCTAGACACCAGAACCACAAAACTAAGCTAGTGGGGCTCTGGAGACTATAATGTCCCTTTAAAATAAAACGTTATACAGTTACCCAGCCTATGCTTTATTTTTACACACTCTCCTTGTAACATGGATTTTAATACACAGTACAGACAACTGTTAAGCAGCAGAGAATCCTTATTCATCTACCATTTCATAGAACCATAGCATCGTAGAAGGAATATCAAGCAATACCTTTTCTTTTACTGCATAGAGTATAAGTTTGCTCTTTGACTTGTTAGTTTTTTTTTTCAATCACACAATACATACATATTTGTTAAAAAAAAAAAAAAAGACATTTTTAAAAAGTGGTAAAAAAGTTTGAGCTTTAATTTCAAATCAGGGAATTAAAGTGTAAAGAGCAAGCAGAATAGGCATTTTTAAGGTCATTCACTTAAATTTTTGTTCTCAGTGTGAGTCAAATTATGTTTGTTAAGACTTGGCTTATATGCAAAACTTTTTTCACATTTAGTGCATGCGAACGGCTTCTCCCCTGTGTGGATTCTCTGGTGTTGTACAAGGTGTGAACTAGATGTAAACGATTTTCCGCATTGAGAACATGGAAACGATTTTTCTCGAGTATGGCTTTTCTGATGTGTGAGGAGGTGCGCGTTAAGGCTAAAAGCTTTCCCACATTCACAACATGTGAATGGTTTCTCCCCTGTGTGGATTCTCTGGTGTTGTACAAGGCGTAAACTAGATATAAACAATTTTCCGCATTGAGAACATGGAAATGATTTCTCTCTAGTGTGGCTTCTCTGATGTGCGAGGAGGTGCGACTTAACACTGAAAGATTTCCCACATTCACAACATGTGAAGGGCTTTTCTCCTGTGTGAGTCCTCTGATGATTTATTAGATGAGAGACACTGATAAAGCTCTTCCCACATTCAGAACATGTGAAAGGCTTCACTCCAGAGTGTGTCTTCTGATGGGACAGAAAACTTGAATGCAGTGCAAAACATTTCCCACATTCAGAGCAGAAGTATGGTTTTAATCCCGTATGAATCAACTGATGTCGTACAAGGCTGGTTTTAACCGTAAAACACTTCCCACATTCGGAACAAGAGTATGGCTTCTGACCTGAATGTGTTTTCAGATGTGCAACAAGATTTGCTCTGTAAGTGAAGTATTTTCCACATTCTGGACATGAGAATACCTCCATCCCTGTGTGACTTTTGTAATGTCTGACAAGACTTGATTTAGACGAAAGATGTTTACCACACTCCGAGCAAGACAGCCTATCTTCCCTATGGATTGATTTATGCCTTGACAATGCAGTGCTACTGGTAAAACATTTTGGGCACTCTGAGCAATTATACATCTGTATCCCGTGTGTGCTTTCTTGAAGGGGATCCGAAGGCACTTTTAGACTTTTGCTGCTGTCACTTTGCTGTTCTAACGAGCTGGAATATATTACTTGGCTTCCATTAGTAGTTTCCATCAATTCTTTATTAGTAATAACTATGTATTTTCTGGGTTCACTCAAGCCATCCCCTTCCATGTTCTCTTCTTCACATGAGTTTGATTCCTCCTTTATGTGTAGAGAATCAGAGTCTCTATCTGAAGGTTTGGAGGGTGTATTGTGGTCAACATCTGTTTTATCTCCATTTTCACATGAGACAGATTCCCCTTTGATATGAGTAAAAGGATATTTTGTCTGGATATATTCTGAAGGGGTGCTACTGCTGTCATCTGTCAAACAGTTCTCGTCACTTGACAATGGTTCCTCCTTAATACGAATAGCTGTAAATTCATTCTGGCTATTTTCCATTGTTGTGTCAATTTCAGTGTGGTCCTCTTCTACGTGTGAAGCCAATCCTCCCTTAAAATGAACAGATGGATTTTTAAGCTGTGTATTATCGTCTGTGCATGTGTGAATGTGGATTTCTGTGAAATCATCTTCACAAGTATCGGATATCTTCTTAGCATGAGCAGATGTATATCCTGTCTGTGTATGTTCTGTGGATATACACACATCACTGTCTGTGAGATTTACTTCTTCACTGGATGTGGATTCTTCCTCACTCTGAGCAGCCTCAATTTCTATCTGGACATGTTCTATGGGTGTATAAATACCGGACTCTGTCGAATCAAATAGTTTGTATGAAACCGATTCTTCCATGAACTGATTAGATGTATATTCAATCTGCGTATCTTCTGGGGGTGTAAAGATATACGTATCAGTGACATTACTTTTGTCTACATCTGAATCTTCTCCCACACTGCTTTCAGATATTTCTTGTACTTGTGGTGTGTTATCTATGATAAGATTTGTTGTGGTTTCAAGAACCCTGATGCTAACAGTATCATTGATAACATCAGAAGAAGGCAAAGCGTCGGGAAGTCCTTCATTGACCGTTATTTGTATGGCTTCATGGCCTGGAAATGCAAGCAATAGTAATGAAAAATGTTAAAAATACAACTTTAGAGCAACCTTATTAAGGAGGTTTTGCAGTATTTTCTGCATGCTCAAATCTTAAATCCTTTTTACACTAAAATAATCACAATGTTTTGCAGAATGCTGCCCCATAAGCCTGCCTCCTTAACCATGCCCCCTTCTCTCCAGAAAAATAATTCCTTATAATTGTATACACACAGCTTAGCCATTGACAGCACTAAGTTATCTGAAATACAAAGCAACTTGCGTTAACCTCTTCATATGAACCATGGTCTGTTTGACACTTTTGTCAAGAGTTAATTATACCACAGTTTCAGCCTGTTTAAGTACACCCATACATATTCTCTATCATCATTTTTTTAAAGGAAAAATATGCTCTTTTAATCCCTTAAGGACTGAGCCAAATGTACACGTTGTGAACAAAAACAAAACAAAACCTGGCATTTGCACTACATGTCTGTCCAACTGTAATTCATCTCTTGCATATTAAATGCACCCACACTTAAAAATCATTTTATTCAGGAAAAACAGGGCTTTCATTTACTATTAAATATTTAGCTATGAAACAATTTAATATGAAAAAAATAGAATTTTTTTTGTTCTACATGACATTTTAACGGTCAATGTCATAATACTGTTTGCTTTTACTGCAATAAAATACACATTTGTATTCAGCAAAGTCTCACGTGTAAAACAGTACCCCCTATGTACAGGTTTTATGGCGTTTTGGGAAGTTACAGGGTCAAATATAGCACGTTACATTTGAAATTGAAATTCATCAGATTGGTTAGGTTGCCTTTGTGACTGTATAGTAGCCCAGGAATAAAATTTTCACCCATAATGGCATACCATTTGCAATAGTAGACAACCCAAGGTATTGCAAATGTGGTATGTCCAGTCTTTTTTAGTAGCCATTTGGTCACAAACACTGGCCAAATTTAGCGTTAGTATTTGTGTGTGAAAAATGCAAAAAAATGACAATTTTGCCCAGTGTTTGTGACTAAGTGGCTACTAAAAAAGACTGGACATACCCAGTTTGCAATACCTTGGGTTGTCTACTATTGCAAATGGTATGCCATCATAGGGGTAATTTTCATTCTTGGGCTACCATAGGGTCTGAAAGGCAACGTAACTAATCTGACGTATTTTAATGTGAAAAAAATGAAACAAGCCTTATATTTGACACTAACTTTTGAAAACACCATAAAACCTGTACATGAGGGATACTGTTGTACTCTGGAGACTTCGCTGAACACAAATATTTATGGTTCAAAACAGTAAAAAGTATCGCAGCAATAATATCGTCCGTGTAAGTGCCGTTTGTGCGTGAAAAATGCAAAAAACTTCACTTTTACTGGCGATATCATTGTTGTAATACATTTTACTGTTTTGAAACACTAATATTTGTGTTCAGCGGAGTCTCCCGAGTAGAACAGTACCCCCCCATATACAGGTTTTATGGTGTCTTGGAAAGTTATAGGGTTAAATATAGTGCTAACAAATTAAATTCCCTTTACTTTCGGTATGGGTTGTCAGGCAGGTCCGGCTAATTGTAATTAATTAAGATACCTAATTATGTAAAAATATTACATACATATATATATATATATATATATATATATATATATATATATATATATATATATATATATATATATATATATATATATATATATATATATATTTATTTTGTTCTACGTGTATTTTGATTATATATATATATATATATATCTCTATCTCTATATCTATCACAATACAGTTAGAACAAAACACATCTATATATTTATTTTTATATTTTTTAATTTTATTTACATACATTTACTTTTTTTATAATATATATTTTTATTTTTTTTTGAATCCCATATATACATATTGCACAATATTTAATAGCAAGAAAATTGGCTATTATAATTCTACACAATTGGTTCTACACACCAAGAGCAACTAAAGAAAGCACGAATTAGTCCTGATTGTTAAAAATGCCCGATATGGCTAGGATTTCCATAACTTTTTAGAGGTTGAAAAACAAATATTGCAAGAAATGAATTAAGATTTTAAAGCATGCCAAGACTATAATTTTTTAGTAGTCACAGAATAAAACCACTACATAAAAGTACAGTTGCAAGAAAAAGTATGTGAACCCTTTGGAATGATATGGATTTCTGCACAAATTGGTCATAAAATGTGATCTGATCATCATCTTAGTCACAACAATAGACAATCACAGTCTGCTTAAACTAATAACACACAAAGAATGAAATGTTGCCATGTTTTTATTGAACACACCATGTAAACATTCACAGTGCAGGTGGAAAAATGTATGTGAACCAATAGACTAATGACATCTCCAAGAGCTAATTGGAGTGAGATGTCAGCCAACTGGAGTCCAATCAGTGAGATGAGATTGGAGGTGTTGGTTACAGTTGCCCTGCCCTATAAAAAACACACACCAGTTCTGGGTTTGCTTTTCACTAGAAGCATTGCCTGATATGAATGATGCCTCGCACAAAAGAGCTCTCAGAAGACCTATGATTAAGAATTGTTGACTTGCATAAAGCTGGAAAGGGTTATAAAAGTATCCCCAAAAAATCCCTTCCTGTTCATCAGTCCACGGTAAGACAAATGGTCTATAAATGGAGAAAGTTCAGCACTGCTGCTACTCTCCCTAGGAGTGGCCGTCCTGTAAAGATGACTGCAAGAGCACAGCGCAGACTGCTCAATGGGGTGAAGAAGAATACTAGAGTGTCAGCTAAAGACTTACAAAAGTCACTGGCAAATGCTAACATCCCTGTTAGCGAATCTACAATACGTAAAACACTAAACAAGAATGGATTTCATGGGAGGATACCACAGAGGAAGCCACTGCTGTCCAAACAAAACATTGCTGCACGTTTACAGTTTGCACAAGAGGACCTGGATGTTCCACAGCAGTACTGGCAAAATATTCTGTGGACAGATGAAACCAAAGTGGAGTTGTTTGGAAGAAACACACAACACTCGGTGTGGTGAAAAAAAGGCACAGCACAACATCAAAACCTCATCCCAACTGTGAAGTATGGTGGTGGGGGCATCATGGTTTGGGGCTGCTTTGCTGCGTCAGGGCCTGGACGGAATTCTATCATCAATGGAAAAATGAATTCCTAAGTTTATCAAGACATTTTGCAGGAGAACTTAAGGCCATCTGTCTACCAGCTGAAGCTCAAAAGAAGATGGGTGTTGCAACAGGACAATGACCCAAAGCATAGAAGTAAATCAACAACAGAATGGCTTAAACAGAAGAAAATACGCCTTCTGAAGTGGCCCAGTCAGAGTCCTGACCTCAACCCGATTGAGATGCTGTGGCATGACCTCAAGAAAGCGATTCACACCAGACATCCCAAGAATATTGCTTAACTGAAACAGTTCTGTAAAGAGGAATGGTCAAGAATTACTCCTGACCGTTGTGCACGTCTGATCTGCAACTACAGGAAACGTTTGGTTGAAGTTATTGCTGCCAAAGGAGGTTCAACCAGTTATTAAATCCAAGGGTTCACATACTTTTTCCACCTGCACTGTGAATGTTTACATGGTGTGTTCAATAAAACCATGGCAACATTTCATTCTTTGTGTGTTATTAGTTTAAGCAGACTGTGATTGTCTATTGTTGTGACTTAGATGATGATCAGATCACATTTTATGACCAATTTGTGCAGAAATCGATATCATTCCAAAGGGTTCACATACTTTTTCTTGCAACTGTATATATTTGTAGAAAGTATATCCCCAGGTTACGTTACACATTTATCATGTAACCATTTTATCAGAAACCTAGGTGAAATTAGTTAATTCGGGAGGGGGGAGGGCGGAGAAAAATTATTGAAAAATGCAGCAAATCTTGCATTACAAGACGTTAACCGGTCCCCAACACTTACCTAAAAGCATGGAGCGTCGGAGTAAGAAACGCAAACTCGACAGACCTCCAACAAAGGCAGATACTGGCGACTTGTTGTGGAGGCCGCAAGCCCCCATGAGGCCTATGATGGCACTGATATCTGGCGGGCCCTCACGAACCTCCAGTGAACCTCCGGTAACGGGAGGCACGCTACTGAGCCTTCTGTACGAGCTACACCGCAACATAGCAGCCGACATCAGCCAGTTTCTTGGGGAGATTAGTGGGGTGTCAGCACGCCTGCACAACACCGAGCTGAACACAGCAGTCCATGAGACGCGTGTTACCTGCTTAAAACAGCAGCGCTCTACTCTGCAACACGTGCAGGCACTATCCCAACTCTGCATGGCATCTCTGGAAGACAAATGAAGATGGAAGAATATTAAAATAAGGGGCCTGCCTGACACTGTGGTTGCAGCCGAACTTCCTCACGTATTTTGCTCTCTGCTCACGATGCTGTTCTCTAGCAAACAAGCAAAGGACATGTTGATAAAAGACTGGTACTGCATTCCGGGCTCCCCTACTGGGACTCCAGGCCCAAACAGGGATAGAATCCTCCGTTTTCAACTACACCAGGACCAAAAGGCTTTTATAGCCATGGTATGCAACCGAACACTACTCCAGTTAGAGGAACACTCACTTTTTTCTTAGATCTTTCTAAGGCTACAATGGACTGGAGACGGTCTCTGAAGCCACTGACAAAAGAACTTGCTGAACACAACATACCGTACAGATGGTGTACTCCTCGCTGTCTCACCATCCCCAGAGACACTGGCGCATTGCAAGTCAGAAAGACATCAAAGAGAGCGGCTACTATGCAGGCACTTGGGCTCTCAGCTCGCACAGCGGAACCACGTCCATCAACATACGTGGTATGGGACCCTGAGCATGCCAGATCGTTTGAACCTGCAGCCCGTCGGAGAGATGCATCCTCAACCCAAGTGCCATCTTACTGCCTTGGTATTTTATTTATGTTCTTCTAGACAAGTTATTCCGTTTGGCCGCTATGACCCACGATAAGGCTTTGACCTTTTAATTAGACTTATGATACCTAGAGGCCTCAGACGCTACCTGCCTTACCCCCTTAAGGACCAAACTTCTGGAATAAAAGAGAATCGTGACATGTCACACATGTCATGTGTCCTTAAGGGGTTAAGCAACCTTTATTAATACCCCCAACCTTACACATACCCAGGTAGCTACTATTGCTACATACCCAGCTACTATTGTACTTTTACTTAATATACAAAAGAGAAAAAAAGCAAACTCCAGTTTCCAATCCAGAAGATATGTATTCTTGTGAAGCTATGTTGTGTCCTTAACTGTTATTGTGACATGTCTTTTCATATTTCTGTACTGTATTTACTCTGACTCTTATAATATTAAAAAAAAAAAAAAAAAAAATGAATAAAAAGTTAGTTCATTCATCCCCCTGACCCCCCCACCACATTTGCTTTATTTTTTTAATTGTGGCCCCAACAGACAGAGGGGACCACTAGGTGTTCACTCACGCCCCCCTTTTCTTTTTTTTACAGATACAGAAAATGTGGAAATACCGCGGTGGAGTGTGAAAGCTCAGTCGCAGTATTGAAAAGGTTTTAAAGGGCAATGAGCGGCGCTCACTATGAATCCTGCACATAGCTAATCTGTCAGACTGGGACCAGTAACTGTGGCCCCAGTTTATAGAAGGTGTTAAAAACTAGCTGTGAAGAATTCCTTCTAATGGGGATCAGATATCAGCATCTTGATCCTCCATCTCCAAAAATTGATTACATTAGCATCAAACTGGATCTGATACCCGTAGTAAAATCTTGTACAAGGTAAGTCATGTAGTTTGTTTAACACTTATGTTTCAACACATGTATTTCTTGTTAAATACTCTTTTTCCACTAGGTGTAGACTGATCGTTAAAAACCCACTTCTTCATAAAAGCGTATCAATTAAACTGTTAATAGCTCCTGACTGATTCCTCTTCTGCAACTGTCACTAGTCTAATACTATCCTTACCTTTTTGTGTCATTTTACCCCACTCCTTCTAGCATGTAAGCTCATTGTGCAGGGCCGTCAACCCCTCTGTTCCTGTGTGTCCAACTTGTCTGGTTACAACTACATGTCTGTTTGTCCACCCACTGTAAAGCGCTGTGGGATTTGATGGCACTATATAAATAACATAATAGTAATAATAGAAGGGACACCAAGGAATGAAAAGATTCCTGGGGTTTCATGGTACCAGCAGGGTAACTTTACTGCATGACGGTCTATGCCATCAAGGGTTGTTAAAACTCTGCAATGCATGACAGCAGAGACGGTCATTTGGTCCTTCAGTGATTCAAAGGAGAGGGCACCCTGAGAGACCCATATAATATCACTATCTGTTTTTAATGTCTCTGTCTGCTGCCAGGATGTGAATTAAAAACAGCTTTACAGCTGTTGGATCTGTACATACATATGAAAAGAAAGTCTTATTGTGGAGCGAGGTGGTGTGGCTGAGGGGAAATACGTCTAGCACAGCAATCTGCAAAACATTTTTGTACATGTATATAGCAAATTAATGAGACCAAATGCATTAAAGTTGTATTGCTTTAACTGGATATAAACCATCGTTGTACTGTATGTAACCACTGTTTCAAGCTTAATTTACATACATTGCATCAATCTAACACTAAAGCTTACCATTTGCACCTGCCAATATTATTAAAGGAACACCAAAGCTTTAGGCATAGCCTTAGGTCAGACTTTAGTGTCCCTGTTTATATAGATTACCCTCACCACTCTTTACAGACATAAAAATAAACTTCTTTACTCACCTTTTTCCAGCGCCAAGGCTTCCTTGGCGCAGCTTACCAATCTGTCTCCGCAATGTCACAGAGGCGGGCATTGGGGACCTGATGCGTATGCACAGCACACACACATTGAAGATTTTGGATAGAAAAACACTGAATAGGAAAATGCTTTCCTATGGAGACTTCCACGTCACATGACCGTGTTGTACCAAGTGATTGCCGCGGTACCGCCTCCAGTGATTGTCAATATGAGCAACACTAGAGGTGGATTAAATCCTGCAATGTAAACATTAGTTTCTAAAAACAAATGGCAACGGTTTACATTGCAGGGTTAAAATGAAAGGATTACTGTAGATAGGCCACTTCATTGAAATTAAGTGGCCCTTTAAATCTCACCAGCTAGCAGATTCTTATGCAAACAAGAGGAAACAAAAAAAATGCTAAGGTGCCCAATATAGTAAAAAAAAAAAATAATTATAAATACAAGGTACACTAATGCCTTCTTAAATACCCTTTGCACTCTAGGGCCTACAACATATCCCCCTATTGGTAATAGTCTCTCCAAAGTCCTACATATACCAGCCCTAGAAAAGTAATTCCTCTTTTTTATCTGCCCACCAAAAGAGCAAAAAACCAAATTCAATTCCATTCCTAAATTATGACTATTAAAAGCAAAAGAAATGTCTTCCGATGCAATCAAGCACTTTCATCACAATAGGATTGCAATTTATCCCCCAAATTGAGTTTTAGATCCAAACCCCGACCATAAAGGAAGATTCAAAACATTCTGAGCAGTGGACACAATCCTCATTCATGCATCACCCCCCTACACGGGTTTGGCTTATAATTACGCAAGTGGAGAGGGAAGAGATACGCTCTATGAAATGATGTGTCTGACTAGCGGATCTAAATAT